TGATTTCCCTCTGTACGTCTAGCCTAGCCATGGATTCCTCTCTATGGTCTAGGCTAGTGCGTGTTTTTCATCGGTTCGCCTTGAATGACTGAGACCCTGCTGAGACCGAGGCTGTTCGTAGCGGACATTAACATGACAATAAACAGAAAATAGCGATCTTGTTGACATTATCTGTGTGAAATATTTTGTAAAGACATTAAAGCTTTAGGTATTTTGTCAGACTTTCATTGACATTTTAACTGGTCACGCGGACTTGGATAATTAACAGGTCCGCCATGCATTTTACTAGCCATTGGCCGGCGGACCAGCGTTATTTCGAACCCTGTATGTCATCATCAGAAATGAATTCCTGATGATGACATAATTAATGTCGAAATATTGAATCCCAACACGATGGCGTGTATTTCAATACTTGGAGTATGTATTATACTTTCTTATCTGATAGGAATATAAATATCATTCAGCCTAAGGTCATCAATTAGTTACATCAATTGTTTGTATATAGGCCTACTAGTAGGTATCACAACATTTTATCGGCCTAATAAAACACGGAAATATCAATCAACGCTATTTACAACTGTATGGCAACAGTCAATTTATGTCCAAAACATACTTTTAAGCTTCACGGGGAAGGAGAGAAGTTAATAGTTATTTTTGCAAGGGTAACACCTAAACGATACTTCCAATAAACATACCTGGTACATACAAAAGGGAGGCATTAAGACAACGCCTATTGGTTATTCAACTGCTAATACAGCGAACGTCATGACAAAGCTGTGTCATCTTTAGACAGGATTTCAAACACGCAATAAGACATCAATGAAATAACACTAACGTACACTGAATTATACTACATAACACAGTACATTCTATTTAATATTTGTCTAACAAATAAACATTTAGGCTGCTATCATAAATAAAATGCATGTATACTTTTAGACATTATTGTGTGTTAGTCCATGGGTGCAGGCTACCACCACCCAAATAAACGTAATCTGTATTGAATATCAAATTGTACAACACAAAACATTACATTTATTAATTATTCACTGAAACTTACCTTGGTTTACACCTTCAAGTACAGTTTTACCACTCAGTATAAATAAAAATGAATGATAAAACAGAAACTAATACAGTAGGTCTACTATAAGGTCCTAAGTATAATAAGGCTGCTTGTCTGTTTGTCCTCCTCACCTTCCCCCCTACCTGAGAAAAAAATAGGGGTGGCAAAGCAAGAAAACTTTTTTTCTGCTTTGTTCATTACATATAAAAAAATGTGTTAAAAAAACTCTTTTCAACCAGCCCCTTTTTATCATTTTAAAAAAAGAAGGGCAAACAAACAATTTATATTTTTAGGCCTATATAGACCGTCTCAACGACTATATTGCTTTGATAACCGGAATCCACATTACCTCTTACCTGAAAAAAAGAAAAAAGGTAAATAGACACACACCACGACATAGATGACGACTCCAAACAATAGTGGGTGTGGGATTGGGATAATGCCCATATGGCGCCCCATACAAATTTCGCCAGACCGAAATTATCGGCGGCCGAAGTCATAAGGAAATGGGCCCGATCGTCTTTGGAAAAATGGGCCCGAACGTCTACCCGCCGTTTTAGAAAATGGGCCCGAAAGTCTACATCGGTGGGCCCGATCGTCCACACTAGTTGGGCCCGATCGTCCACACTAGTTGGGCCCGATCGTCCAAAAATGTGCCCGATCGTCTGGGCCCGATCGTCTCGTGTGCCCGATCGTCTGTAATTCGTAGTACTGTATTGCCTATAGTTTCAAAGATAATTGAAAGAATAGTACACAACAAACTTTATTACCACTTGTCAGAAAACAATATATTAAGTCCTTGCCAATCTGGTTTTAGATGTTATCATTCAACTAATACGACACTCATTGATTTTTCTGACTACATTCTAAAAAATATAAACGAAGGTAATGTTACAGCTGCTATATTTTTAGATTTGCAAAAGGCTTTTGATACCATAAATCATAACCAAGTTATACCTTTGTCATATAGGTAATCTTACAGTATTTTCATGTTCTTTATTTTAGTCAAATAAAAGATATACAGTGATGAATTAATACACTAGACACATGGTTTTATTTGAACACTTTATTATGACATCGTAAAGTGATGAATAAGAACACTAAACACATGGCTTTATTCTTAGGCCTAGGCCTAGAGGCTAGGTCTAGCCTAGGTATCATCGTTCGTTCGTACATACGTTTATTGAGCGTTACGTACGTATTACTAGGTCAAAGGTTACCACAAATTTAACCCAACCTCTATTTTACGAATCCCCGATTTACGTACGCCCTCTGGTCCCGTACCGTACGTAAAATCGAGGTTCTACTGTATTTCGAAACACTTGTCTCAGTCTGATCAAAATTTTGAACATGTCCAAAATTTAAAATCGACCCCAGCGTACGTCTGCGTACCCCAACGACCAGCTAACGAATACAACGTATGCCAAACGTATTACAAACGTGTCACGAACGAATGTCAACTTACGCCGAACGTAAATCAATATTTTGATAAACGTTGGCTCTATACGCTACAGTGTGACAGGTGCTTTACGCCTGTTACCGTCAGTGTGCTTTTATTACCCAGTCAGGGATGTCACCAGCTTTTTGAAGTGCCGGTCGGCGATCATTCCGCGTTTTCCCGGGGGTGGGGGGTTCGCCGTATTCGTGAAAGCTCTTAAAAATCAAAAGGCCTAAGTAAGTCGAGAAGGGCCTAGTAATTAATAAGGAACAAATCCCGGCGACAAAGCGTCGATCCGACTCTACCCAGCTGCATTGTTTGCCGTAATTTCACATGTTTGACGATTACCACGATGAATGTGTATGTCACTGATTCATGTACACTCATTTATTTATTTTTGTCCATTTACACACATTATATATCAATTATAATTAAAAGTGAAAAACTTATAATACAAAATGAAAAGAAAGTAAAGAAATAAAACATAAATCAGGTTTCGTAAATTTTTAATAATCTTCCTGCCCCGGACCATGATCTCATAATAAAACACTTGAATGGTCACGATTTCAACTTTAACCTTTGAATGTGTACAGAGCAACCGTGTCATGCCGGCCCACGAAGTTCGCTATGACTCAACTGGGCCTAGGCCTAGGCTGTTAAGTTAGCGATGAATAGCAGGGCAGTGCAGTATTTTGTTACAATTAACGTAACCACGGAAACATTTATTGTATTCTTATTGTCTTTATCAATTTAGCTTGTCTATTGTGTTTAGGTAAACTAATTATTTTGTTACAATTTGTAAACTGTTAAAATAATAGTGGTGGTCGGGAGCTGTTGATGTTGAGTGCTGGACGGGCCCGTCCACCACCGACCAGCGTGGTGACATCCCTGCCAGTAATGCACTGCGCATGGTTGGTTTGTTTGTTTGTTTTCCACATGAAAACTGTACATCGTGATTCATCAATGAAGTGAGTCCGTAAAAAATGTTTTAATTTTACACCAAGCAACTGTCAGGTACTCATCCCAAGTTTACACTTTGGTCAATTTTAAATGAGTATAACTTTCTGGTTTTATTAAGTTTACACATACACTTAATTTAGGTGTCCAAGATCAATCAAATCAGTAGTGAAAATGCCCAGATTGCACAAGCTACAAGGAGCTTTACTCACTTTTTGATTTTTGCGTTGTTCCATTTAATATTTACTTTTTTGTTTATAATCTTGACTTTAACGCGTAAAACGGGACCATTTTTACAACGCAATAGGCTTTACAGTAAGCCCTACTTACTGTGCTTTAATTGCTATCCAGTCCAAAGAAACATAGATTCCCAAAGGATTGTTTTGCATGTATTTGGGAACGTACTTTAGTTCAGTACGATAACATGTCAGGTATTGCAAAAATCACTCAATGATATTTTTTCTGATACAAACACATAGTATTGAAATAGCAATGCCATAGCCACTGTTACTTGGGGATCAGAACTAAATGCTGAACCTCAATTTAAGTACATTTGGTCATGGCCAACTCAATACTTTTTTCATTTGGCATTTACCACAGTGCCCTTGTTTCTGACTAAATGTCTGAGTCTGCCCCATATTCTTATTATGCAGTAGGCCAGCTTATGCCAAGAAGAATCAGAATCTGAATATTGAATAATTGTGTTTGTGTAAGTAGTGCATAGGTCTACAGTACTGTAAGCAAATTTTAAAATACAATGGATGATTAAAACATTTTAATTTTTCAGGTATAATACTTTATAAGGATGACAAAACATCATAAATCGATTTTAGCTGTGGTTGATGAGATAGTCTCTTATTCATCAGTATGTTCTACAAGTGATGAATCAGGTTAGAATTACATCTACAGTAATTTTGCTTTTTTTATATTTTTAATATTTTACTTTATGTGTATTTTTTCTTAAACAATTATCTATGTAAAAAGACACAAGAAACATGAGTGGGTTTATTTTCCAGTGCATTATTTATCATGCATAGTAATAGCTACCCAGTACTCTAAACTCATAATCTAATTGTGACCCACCATAAAACCAAACAGAGAAATAGTGACCCAGGGTTTCTATTTAGAATTTTTATAGTAATTTAATGATGACATGAATAAAAGACATTTACGTTCATGTAGGTACATCCTGCAAAGTAGCTAATGGTCCGTAAGCGCAGGGTAACAGGGGCGGTATGAACCAGTACATTGGGGTAACCCTCTACTTGGCTCGAAAGATGTACTGAGTTCCTTAAAGTGCACATGAGCCAATTGTGTACGCTGAGAAGACACGTTCCACCAGCAGAACCACAGGCGAGCGTACCATTTGGACCAGCGCCAATATTATGGCTGGTTGCAATGCCTCTGCCTTAACCGCTTGGCCATTCGACTCACTCAATCTAAATCCATTGTTGTGCACAATTATTTTTAAAGAATTTTTGAAGTTTGCAAGAAATCAGGAAGATTGTCGGCTGAAATGGTTGAAATCAGAAGAAGCAAATCGTATGTTACAAGAACGTATTTTTCAACTACAAGCAGAGAAAGAGGCATTAGATGTAAAATTGAAACATGCAAGGTAACTGTATCATATTGATGATCAAAGATTTTTGTTTAGAGTACATCAAGAAAAGAGTATGTACATTATCTATAGTGTTTTTCCTGCTTATCATTCTAATCATAATTTTTTGGTGGCATTTTATGTAATGTTGTCTCAAAAGTTTAAACAACTTGGTGCACAAATGTTGCTAAGATTTAAAAAAATGGGTGTGGCAAATGTTTTGTTACACATTGTGTGACATGATGAATCTTGCTGGTATACCTAATTATATTCTGAAATATTACAGAAAAATGTTTTCACACAGAACCATGTAATACCTATGTATTAGATTGATAAAATTTAGTTAATAATAATAAACATATGAATGAGAGATGATGCTACTGTTATTTTGTATGTCTAAATAAGGAAATACTGGTTGAGTGCCAGTGGATTTACAAGTCAAAATCTGGCCTAAAAACATATTCTTGCTTGTATGAAATAAAAATTATATATCATAAACTCTTTCTTTATAATTAATCTGTGTACAGTAGGTGTGAAAAGTTACATAATCGTTTTAATCTACCTTTTGGTTTCAAAGCTTTTAGTGCACAATTTTTTCAGTTACAAGCATTATTATTAGTAGCCTGGTTCTCAAGAGAGCCCTAGTATCCGGATCGGGAGCTAACCGATAGCGCTAACCGTTAGCGCTAACCGTTGGCACCTGCGTGAGAACGCCTGATCGGTTAGCGCTAACTGTTGGCGGTATCCGGATACGCTAATAGTTAGCAAGCGCTATCGGTTAGCAAGTTGAGGGCATTTCTATCATCAACCAATCACATGTACGTGTTTACAATTTCCAGTTTCTTATTGGCCAGTGATTCGATCATCATATTGTTGGTATCCGGATGAGGATTTTCTAGCATGGACGCACGGCATCTAACGGTTAGCAGGATCCGGATCCTGCTAACCTTTAGCTGCCGTGTGAGAAAAACATAGCCAACATGAATGATAAATGTATAGCATTTTACATTAAAGCAGTATTTGTTAATCATGTTGTGTGTTACAGAAATCAAATTGACATAGAGATGCAGAGAAGAAGGAAAGCAGAAACTGGACAAGAGGAACTGGTAATTGATTTTGTATTAAAAATTTACATATCTAGATTCACATAGGCCTAACTGTAAAAAAATATGCCAAGGCCAAAAATATTTGTTGCATTGCCCAAGAAGTGCCATTTGGAGACAAAATTTACAAATCTTGATTCACATATCCCTACTGTAAAAAAATTATGCCAAGGCTAAAAATATTCTTTGCATTGCTCAAGCAATGACATTTGGAGATGGGTGGGAAGGGATAAACATAAAAATAAAATGCCTCATCAATGCCTAAATTTAACAAGAGGTACTGATAATTGATTTTGTATTCAAAATTTAGAAATCTTGATTCACATAGATTGATTATTGTTGCTGTGTTTGGTACTGTAGTATTCAAAATGCCAATTGTTTACAAGTGCTTATGAATAGATAGGTAAAATTTTGCTTTCAGTTGATATTAACCCTTATCATGTCGTAGGCGCAATAGTGTGACAGCGAAAAATTTACTGTTGAATGCCCTAGGCGCACTAGTGCGACACATCCTCTATACTGTCTATCATTCTGATGCTCATTTGTTTTTGTATCCGGGTTACTTACTCTTTGAACTTCTTGAATAAACAAAAATCTTTACAACTTTTATTGAAAAATAGTTTATAAATCAAACAAAAATGTCAACTTATTTTTGAAAGTTTCACTATGGCCGCGCAGCTGCGATATACAGTACTGTGGAACGAGCCATACATGATGTTTTTGATGATAATAGTGTGGATAGAGACCAGGAACATTTTTGTGTAATTATAATTGTGTTTCTGTAGGCTAGTGAGAGTGATGAGAGTGATGGTTATGATAGGGAAGAAGCTAATATCGCCGGTGGTGCAGCGGGGACGAGGTAGGTCTAGGGCCTAGCCTAGGCCTAGATGAAGTTAGGCCTAGCCTAGCCTATACAAAGAACTAGGCCAAATTGGATGGCGGAAACGGAACATTTCCCTGATTGTAAAACAATTTTTCTTTTACAAACTAGTATCACATATAGAATATATGTGCTATGAGAATTATTTTTTTTATAATAGTTTTTTGTTTAGAGTTACTAAGAGAGATACTAATTTCTGCTGTGTAATTATGTAGTTTTGTAAAAGTAATTTGGCATGCTAGAATGTCATGCACCAGCGATTTTCAGCATGATAAGGGTTAAGATTTATGATAAGTATATACAGTATTAAGTACTCTTGACTGAAGAAAACTCAATGCCATTTGGGATACAAAATTACAGTATCATGATTTTCAAATGTTTAAAAGGTTACACACCCATATATCTGACATCAAATTTTATCTTCAACAATAGTACTTATACTGAAGGAACACGTAGCCAAACAAATAACAATCTATTCATCCCTTGGATAGTCAAGGAAAATGGACTTTTCTTTACCAGGCAACAAAAATGTGGAATGAACTTCCTAATGAATTAGAAATTAACTTTCAAAATATGTCGTCGCATTCATTCAGAAACAATATTACTACATAAATGTATTTCATTGACTCTTCTCTTGCTTGCTTTATATTTTTTGTGTGTATTTATATATTTATATTCTTTTAATTCTTTGTATTGTAAACTGTACCACTTTTAAAAATCAGTGTAATAGTACTGAAAGTGCCTGCAGTATAAAGAAAGAATAAATAAATTTTAAAATAAATAAATACGCCTACTGTAAAAAATTATGCCAAAGCCAAAAGTATTTGTTGCATTTCCCAAGAAATGTTATTTGGAGATAGAGTTGGAAGATATAAACATAAAAAAAAAAAAGGCCTCATTTCATTTCCTTTCATTTATTCGTCTCAAATTTCATCTCAATTGGCAATAAAGGAAACAGCAAAAGTGAACTTAATCACTGTCGAGTGGGGGCCTTCACAAGAAATAACCAAATGCTTACAGAATGTACATTTAAGAAAATTATATAAACACTAAAAGTTAAAAATTTAAGAAGTTCAATAGTAAAATAGGCATAATTTAAAATATTTAAAGTATTAACATTTTCAGATGATTAAAATAAAATTTACTTTAAAATTTAAATGTACAATGCTTAAAAGGTATATTAAAAAAATAATAATAAAAGCAATTAGGCTGTTCATCTCCATAGTCAGGTCGGCTAACAGAGAAGAAAGTTAACAATTGTAAAATTCTATAGTAAAATAAGCATAATTTTAAAGTTTGGCATTTTAAATATTAAAATTTTCAGATGATTCAATAAAATTTACATTACAATTTCAAATTGCAAATGCTAAAATGAATATAAAATATATCCAAGCAATTGTGAGCTATTCATCGCCATTGTTAGGTCGGCTAACTGAGAAGAACTTCGGCAAGACTCATCAATGCCTAAATAACAACATGGTTTTATGAAAACATTGAAACTCTATATTTTTTTTTGTTTTTAACCTAGGATCGGCAAATCTGCCTAATCAGAGAGTTGTTGGGAGATGGTAAACTTAACACTTTAAATGACAAAGAACGAGAGAGTCTAGCTTTCCTTAATGGCACAGCTTATCATCAGAATGGCACACCAGTACGGAGATTGTCGGCTATTGATGAATCTGGTGATTTGCTTTCTCCATCTGATATTAGTTATGATCATACAGAAGATGATCTTGATTCTTCTTGTCTAAGAGGTGGAAAGAAGTGGCGTAAAGACTACCCTCAAACAAGAAAGGTTGGTTAACAGAAAAATTTAAGTAACTATTGCAAATAATAATGGAACAAAATAAGATGACTTGTAACTAGGTTACTATTGAGGTTATTTTGTCCATCTGCAAATCAGTCATCAGAAAAGTTTGAATAAATATCTTTAAAACTCCCTTGATG